ATTATCCAGTGTAATAAGATACCCCAACCTTCTACCTAGCTTGGAAAATGAGCAAGTCACAGCCCTTTAAAGACAGTAATATCTGCCTCTAATTATCCATCAGGGTGGCCATGCCCCACTCCCGCCCCCCCCTCACCCCTTGCAGGGCCACTGAGTATTACCTGCTGTTATTAATTAAGCTCTCCATAAGCTCCAAAATCATCTGCCGAATAATCTTTTGTGATCAAAAGTTCCGTTTTTCATTTCAATTTCATTTTCATTTTCTCACCCTATCAAGCACTTGTAGAATCCAAAGGGTGTTGCATACATGCGAAATGATAACCTGCGATTCTATCAATGAAATCATTTATTCTCAAAGAAGAGGATCCTTTATACTCAGGCCTTAATGTTTGAGGTTTGTGCCTGGCAGCCTCTCTGTGGAGTCCCCTGTTGACTGATACCATACCACTGGTGGTGATTAGATCATGATGGATGCTATGAAGTATCCAGAACCACCAGACCGATATCTGAAATTATTTTAGACTCTCTGCTCTCTGGGGAGAGGAGGAAGATCAAATAAACAAACTCCACAGGAACACAAATTGCGTACCCTTCATCTATTTGAATGACCCTCCCACTGAATTTTTGGACTTAATCTGATGGCTAATCCATTTTGACTGGCTGGCTGTACAGAGGAAAAGATCAATAACCGCAGCAAAATGGGAAAATAATTGTACCGCTCAGCATCGCTTATGATCAATTCACCTTGACACAACATGGCTGGCTGGCAGAGACGAGAATGTGCTGGCCAAGAGAAAACAATGCAGTGAGGAATGGAAGTGACATCCATAATCAATAAAGGCGTACACTCAGGAGGAACTGTACAGCAACACAGGTCTGAGCAGAGATATTGGATAAAGCGAGATACCCCACTCAGCTCACTTCCTGATTCAGTGACGTCAGGGAGGGAGAACAGGCTCTGATTGGAGGGAGAGCTAACCATGCCCACTTAGGAGACAGGAAGAGTAACTGTTTTCTTAACATTGGATAAGCCTACGGTGGGGTATCTCCTTTATCCAATATCTCTGGTCTGAGTCACCATCTCCAGGAAGTAGGAACTACTTTCTCAATTTAACCTTCCTTAATTTTTCTCACTATCTCATAAAAAGAGCAAAGCCAGTAATGAACTGAGCATACTAGGAAGTATTGTTTCTGTTTCCCAAGTCTGAAATAACTTATTGTTTTACATGTGCCTTAAACTGTACTGTGGCACAGCAGGGCTTTGAGCTAAATGCTAATGTCTACATGCTAGCATACTCACAATGTATGAAAATGACAATGTTAATAGGTTGAAGTGTTGTAGTTGTAATCTTTACCATTTTCACCAATGTAGCCTAGCTTATGAGCATGCTAACATTTGCTAATTAGCACTAAACACAAAGTAGTACACCTAAGGCTGTTGGGAATGTATTGCAGGTATTCGGTCATAAATCAAATTATTGAAGTGTTAATAGTTCATCCTCAGGGGATCACGAATGTCTGAAAATATAGATACATATATCTATCCAGATATTTGAGTCTCAACCAAATTGGTGGACTACCGTGAACACAATACACAAGTTTATTTTAAGGCAATCTCAAAGACTTTGCTCACGTGCTGTAATTTCTCACTAACACAGCAAATGTGTATTCATCCACAGCTGAAAATAGTCCCCAATAAATGCACATTTACTGCTTTTTAAGTGATGATTGTTGAAAACTGCAGTGCCCAGCCTTTTTTAAAAATTACTGAACCTTACATGTCTGTTGGTTTAAAAAAAGTTATGACCTCAGTAGGAACTGGGGGCTGTTGAAATGTACTGGGAGATGGACTGATGAATTGTTGGTTTTGGTTTTCAAGGACAAACATTGAACAGCAGTCTTATCCTTTAACTGTCTTTTGTTTGTGTTTGTCATGCAACAGTGTTTCAGAATTTCTTTGTTCTTTTTAAAATCTATATCATATGGGTCGTGTGTGTGTGCGTGTGTGTGTGTGTGTGTGTGTGTGTGTGTGTTTGGGTTATCTCTACGATATATCTCTATATATTTTTCAGTTGATATTTTTATGTATTATTGCTCTTCTCACTTACGCAAATAAAATTTAATAGGTTCCCTCCTTTCCTAATTAGGTTGGTGGTACAATAACAATGAGTCAGACATGGTGTCAGACAGTTGTATTAAATGAAAGAATGATTGTGTAATTACAATGGGAATAAAATCATTGCTTTGCATGCAAAGTCAATTAAAAATACACTTACAAATGGTAAATATGTTGAAAGAGCATTGTTAAATTCTAACATCTAACACAGTTAACTGTCATAACTTAGTATCTGGATTTTGTCAGTAGTCATGAAGCCACACTGATACACAGCACACAGTCTGAGATTGTATTTTTTTTTCTTATACTGAGCTCATTGTGAATAAAAGTAAACATGCTCAGTTGAATAGCAAGTTGCTGAAAAGACAGACAATTGATTTTACTTTGCACATCATCTTGTCATGCCAACAAAGCCAAAAATATGTTCACTGAGGAACAGAGCGGAACACAGTCTGTACTTCAATATGACGGGGGAAATTGCTTTCAGTATGGCATGAAGGAAAGTAATGGGATAGCTCTGCTGTTTACACGGATATGGAACAACAATATGCCATCAACCAACACAGATTGGATGCAATACTGAATTGACTCAACATAATAAACAGAAAAAGGTGGATGATGAGCAGGTAATCTAAACATCAAGTGTTAAGATGAGAGTGGGCAGTTACATACTAAGGTGCCTGTGTCAGCTGAGAATGAAGTGACACTGCTGTTGGATGTAGCTCCATACGTTACTGGCTCATACCCAAATTGTTTCCAGTATTAGAATTAGTGCTTAAGCATTTGAGTTGAAGCTGAAAAAAATACCCTACACCACATTATATTTCTCTGTTGTCCAATCAAATGAGAGCAGAGGCGGTCTTTTCTACTGTCTGTAGACAATGAAACTGAAGGAAGCAGTTGCTCATAATTATTTTCATCATACTTGTTGTGTCATAACTGCAAAGGCTGTTTACTTCTCATTTGGTTATCAACAACACTACTAATGTTATTACCTATGCAAGTTAAGTGACTGACAGCAGCTGAATCTGTTGTTGCCTAGAGACAGCAAAGTGATGCTTCTGCATGTGCAGGCTTCTTAAAATCAAGGGAAGAGAGTGTAACTGGTGGGTTCAGACATTAAAACCAAGTCCAGTGTGACTGAGAACTAAAGATAAGCTTCAGTACAAGTCTGTTGTATTGCTGAGCGTCCACAGAGCAAGGCATTAAAGGGACAGTTCATCCAAAAATCAACAATACATATTTTTCCTCTTACCTGTAGGCATATTTATCCCTGAAGATTGTTTTGGTGAATGTTGCAGAGAGTTGGAGATATTGGCCGTAAACATGTCTGCCATCTCGTGAATATAGTGAAACTAGATGGCACTCGGCTTGTGGTGCTCACAGTGCCAAAAAATACATTTGATAAACTCAACAGCAATGGCTCTTTTCAGAAATCATGACCCTGTTACTCAAGATCATCCACAGACCTTGTTGTGAGCAGTTTTATGTAGGAACTATTTTCTGTGTACCAAGCTATGTTTACATCTTGTGTTGTCATGAGCACGAGACTCTTGTCCATGAGTAGATGCACGCCTCTTCCTGTGCCGTGATATTACTGGCAGGTGTAGCTCAGTAGTAAGAGGCCGTTTACACATACACGGTGATTTTGATAAACGGAGACATCTTCCTTCGTTTGTGCCCTTCGTTTACACGCAAACGGAGATTTCTCCTCTGAAAACGAGTCTTTCTAAAAACTCCGGCCAGAGTGGAGATTTTGGAAAACTCCGGTTGCGTGTTTGCATGTAAACTGAGATAAACTGAGATAAACGGAGTTATAGGCAGTCGACGTCACAGTATGCGCCGGAACTTGCGCCTGTGTCAAAAGTGCGACCTATGTTGCTATGGTGACAATGGATACATGGAAGGCTTGAGCTTCTTGTTACACTGCCAACTACAGGTTTGGCATGCTCTTGTGTATATATACACAGGTAAGTGTAAACGAAGATCTTTTTGAAAACGGAGACGGTGAAATGTCCGTTTATGAAAATAGCCTGCAATGTGTAAACGGCCTCTAAGAAAATAGTTCCTGCAATTAACTGCCCACAACAAGATATACAGATTATCTTGAGTAACTTACTTCATGATTTCTGGAAAGAGGCATTGCTGTTGAGTTTATCAAATTTATTTTTTGGTGCTTTGAGCACCACAAGCTGAGTGCTATCTAGTTCCATTTCACTGGAGAGAAGGCAGACATCTCTATGGCTGATATCGCCAACACTCAGAAACTCACACAAAAACAATCCAGACTGATAAATAGCACTGATTTGGAGCCAACTGCCCCTTCCACACCTTTATTCCCATGTGGTTAGTGTGATAAGTTGTGGTTGTACTAAGCGGCTCCTTGTCGTGAGTGTGTATAACTTCATCAAAGTACAAGAAAGAAAGCACCACTTAAACGTAAGAAAAACATTGTTGTTCTCCATTATTTCTCGCCTTATTGCCATGCAGGCAATTTTCAAACGATTAAGTATATTGTGAAGCCATGGATCCAAGGTCGCTGCTGTTGTGACATGAATGAGAATATGGTGGCAATACAGCGTCAAGGAAAATGTGGGGGTAGACAGGTTCAGGGTGCAGGTAGAGAGGCTGTTAGAGTATGATAGTCTGGGCAGGAAAGGGCAAGGTGAAGTGAGAGATAGCAGCTGTGACAGCCAAGAGAAGTAGAGAAACCTTTTTTTTCTTGTGCAGCTGAAAGTGTGATTCCTATGCATGCTATTTATTTGAATATTAAAGGCTGTGCAAATCATATGAGCCAATCAGCATACTCTGAAACTGAGGAAACAAGACATTATGAAAAAAAAATATGGTTTGACTAAATAATCTTGAGTTAAGGTCCACTTACTCGTTTTTTCTCGGGTTTCAATCACATCCCTGGGTCTTCATGAGGTGATGAAATTTTCAAGAACTTATGACTTCCATGACAACAACTCCTCGACAACTGAGCAAAAATCACCCGCTGATGTTGTATATGATGATGCAGCTGAAAGCACAGGAAAAGAGGAAGTGGACCTTGAGTTAGGTTATTTTCTCAAAATGCAAAAAGAAAAAAAAAAAGATCAGACCAAAAAATTAAATAAAATCTATAATTACATTTTAAATAAATAAATAAATACAATTATTTTAAAAATAATATTAAAAATAAAAATAGTGATAAAAATAATAAAAACACACACAAGCAACAAACAATCTGTCAGAAAATCAATTTTATACGGCAAAAAAACAATTGAATTCCCTTGCTTGCTCACACTGAAACACACTAGAATGCTTTTTCCTCACCTGTTCTTGCACTCTGCTCCCCTGTCTCTCTCTCTCTCTCTCTCTCTCTCTCTCTCTCTCTCACACACACACACACACACACACACACACACACACACACTGAAGGACACAATCGCGATTTTCTCTATGCCCCCTCCCTGCCCTCTGTCTGCTCCTCTCCCCTGCTCTCCCGGGTAATCAGCTATGAGCGCATAAACACTCATCCATCCGCGGCCGCGCACCTGCTGCAATCTGTTGACTTTGAGCAGGATCTTTCACCTGTCGCTGGCAGCTAAGAGAAAGGTGCTAGCAGGTTGGTTTGGAAATGTACCAGTTCTGCCTGGTTAGGTTTCAGCGTGTGCCCAAATGCGACCCATCAGGATTATCTGACAGCTTTGAGAGCCATCACAGCAGAAGTGATAAATGTTCTGATGTAGGTGTCATTCCTTTTTCTCTGGGTGGTTATTGACCTTCTGTTGCACTTTTACTCCACCGTCAATAGACTTTTGGAAATTTATTGTTTAAGCCTTCAAACAGTCTGCAGATGTCACCTCGGACTCTGGGAAATGTGATGGCCATTTTTTACTTTTTACACCCCACCAAGTGTACAATTGGATTGTATTTCACTACAGATTTTATTCGACTATGACCTGATAATTGCTTATTATTTAAGAGAAATTGCAGTGCGGAATGCCAAAGTAATCTGTGAGACAATTTAAAATGTCACAATTAGTGCGTCAGATGTAATAATTTCAGTATTGATTAATCTGTTTTTTTCCCCAATTTATCAATTAATTGGTCTAAAAAAAGTCAGGACATAGTTAAAAATGCCCATAAAGACTTTCCAAATCCCAAGTAGGCATATTAACATAGTTGGTTTTGTCCGACCAACAGTCCAAAACCCAAAGATATTCAGTTTACTATGATAAAAGCCCTAGAAAATCAGCACATATCCTTAGTTGAAAAGCTAAAACCAGCAATTTTTTTGGCATGTTTGCTTCAAAAATGAAAAATGTTTGCCAATTGGTGTGCTCTGATGGCCTATAGGAGGTGGGGCACTGACCATGAACTGCACCCTCCACTTAAACCACAACCAATACAGAAGATAACGCATTACAAGCTGCACCAGTCTCCTAAGAGGGCGTGGTCTCCTCTCCCCCTCATCCTCCCACCTCATTTGAAGTGTTAGTGAATATTTTGTGGATGGATGAAAACGGATTCTAAACACCACAACACTATATACAGTATCTCACATAAGTGAGTACACCCCTCCCATTTCTGCAAATATTTCATTGTATCTTGTCATGGGACAACACTATAGAAATGACACTTTGATATAACTTAAAGTAGTCAGTGTACAGCTTGTATAGTAGTATAGATTTACCTTCCTCTGAAAATTACTCAAAACACAGCCATCAACGTCTAAACAGCTGGCAACATAAGTGAGTACACCCCACAGTGAACATGTCTAAATTGTGCCTAAAGTGTCAATATTTTGTGTGCCAACCATTATTATCTAGCACTGCCTTAACCCTTTTGGCATGGAATTCACCAGAGCTCACAGGTTGCTTCAGGAATCCTCTCCCACTCCTCCATGATGACATCATGGAGCAGATGGATGTGAAGACACCTTGTGCTCCTCCACCTTCAGCTTGAGGATGGCCCACAGGTGCACAGGTGAGTTTAGGGCTGGATACATACTTGGCCAGTCCATCACCTTCACCTTCAGCTTCCTCAGCAAGGCAGTTGTCATCTACTAGGTGTGTTTTGGGTCATTATCATGTTGGAAAACTGCATTGCGGCTCAGTTTCTGAAGAGGGGTGATCATGCTCTGCTTGGAATTCATGTTTCCCTAAATGAACCGAGATCCCCAGAGCCGGCAGCAGTGAAACATGAATTCCAAGCAGAGCATGATCACCCCTCTTCAGAAACTGGGCTACAAGTTTTCATTATCAAGTTTTCCAACTTTAGGCACAATTTGGACATGTTCACTGTGGGGTGTACTCACTTATATTGCCAGCTGTTTAGACGTTGATGGCTGTGTTTTGAGTAATTTTCAGAGGAAAGTAAATCTATACTACTATACAAGCTGTACACTGACTACTTTAAATTATAGGCTACCAAAGTGTCATTTCTATAGTGTTGTCCCATGAAAAGATATAATGAAATATTTGCAAAAATGGGAGGGGTGTACTCACTTATGTGAGATACTGTACTGTACAAATTTAATGTTTGCTCCTTACTTTGCTGCTCATTTTTATCTCCTAGCTTAATATCTGATATGGACCCAGTACAAGATCATATTCGTTAAATAATGTTTTCTTTTCCACTCCCAAAACAGTTAAATTATAACGAAGACAGTATTTTTTTTTTTCACTTTAAATTCATGAAGCTCTAGCGAAAATCAGGAAGACAGTACTTTTCATGCTCAGGCTGTAAGATTTCTTTCTCACCCTGCCATTCACTCCTTGCACACATGCTCACTTACTATCTCCAGGTGTCATTGTCTGGGTCTGTCAACTGAGCCATCAGCTGATTTACATTCAACCAGAAGCACAGCTACACACGTTCTCTGTCAGCCTATCATGTTACTGCTCCCTATTTTAAATACGGTTCTTTCTGTGCCGTAGTTCTTTCTTGCTGCCATCATGCACGCCCTCCACCTCCCCATCACCACCTAGTCTTTACAGATTCATCAGCCACATACGCCTCAGCAGCCTCAGAGTCAGCAGCCAACACCACCACCAGTGTCTGAACGCCATGGGGGGATTTATCTTACGGCCACTCAGATGTCCCTCGATCACAAAATATCGCCCTCTGGTGTCCAAGCACCAAAGACTGTTAATCTGTACACTCATATTCTGTATTAAATATTATCTTGACTTCAATCTTCTGTCTCTCCTGATTAAAATGGTTTCACATGTAAGTCAGTTTCAATTTCTATTAATCTGGTTGGAAAGTGTTGTCGGCAGCACTGCAGTGAAACCACCGAGACGAGAGATTTGGTGTTGCCAGATCTCACGAGAATGTGTTGCTGAGAAAGAAACAGGTCTCAACAGGGCTGTCTGAAAAAATGCTGTTGTTGTGTCAGAATGTTCAGGACGTGTCTGGCGTATGAAAACTCAGCTAGTCTCCTAAAGGGGCGAGGCAGTGGCAAAGCCCATGTGACACAGATATAGGAAATCAATCAAAAGTAAGCCATCTTGGTTTATCAGTGGTCTTTGCCGCAATATCCCCAGTTCACTTCCCGCCAGGGAGCTTTGTTGCACGTTCACAATCTCCCTCTCTCCCCATATTTCCTCTAATCTCTCCACTACTGTTTAATAAAGGTATGAAAATGTCTCTTATGTTAAAAAAAAAAATTAGCTTGTTAGTCTCTCCCATAGAGCTGAAATAAGTAATTTATCCACAGAACCCTAACCCTTGGGCACAATTCTTTAATAGTAATTACATTTAGGATGCTCATAGAAAATGTTAGCTTATTTTGTGTATTGTTGAAAAACAAAATCGGCCGGTATTCTGCTTTTGAATTCCTTCTTTTTGTTTTTGTGATTGTGACATAGTACAAAGGTGTAATCAGATATACAGACATTAACACAAAGTGTATGAAACAGACTCCGAGTATTGTTAGTGTTTGTGTGCATGTATCAAACTGTGTTGTGTAAATGTGTCATGTATTTATGTATGAATAATTGTAACTAGAGGAATATTTAAGTGTGTGCGAGAAGGAGGAGGATAAATAAATATATAGTAATAACAATAATGTTGGTCATTAGATTATTTAACCCTCATATCTATATTTATAGACAACCAATGGTTGGGCTTAGTTGATCCAAAATAGATCAACATATTAATCTATAAAACAGCAGTCAGCTGCAGCAATATTTACAATATTATGACTTGATTTCATTGCATCATACAAGATTAAAACTGTAGCACAGATGGATGATAAATCCATACTGAGGGCTTGGCTACTGTAAGTCTTTACTGGGTAAATAAAGGACTGTAAATGCACAGTGTAAATCCAAGAAGAACAGCAAATCACTATGCATCAATACCCACAACTGCTAGGTGAACACATTATCTAAACACACCTGCAGTGGTAATGCTGAAATCAGTACAGATCTCCATGTAATGCTGTCATTTTTCCTGCATAATTGGCAATTACAGCAAACAGAGGCAATCCTGTGAACAAACACCATCAGACGCCAGAGATCAGATTTTAAAGCTGTTACAGTGCGGAGCTCCATTGGTAATCAATGGAGGCTTAGAGGCATCTACTGATCGGCATGCAGATGTCCTCATCACGTGGTGGCGATAATCTAAATCCTGTACACATGCAAACACTACGGTGTTCAGTGGTGCTCGTCAGCACCACAGAGGTGACCCAGTGTGATCAATAGCATGTTGTATAACACCTTGGCTCAGCGGGGATTTGGTTTGAAGTGAATTAAGAGGCTTTGGATGCAATTTCTTTAAGAACAGGGCAAACTGAAAACACATTTTCTTAATGAGCTTCTCACTATGAGCAATGTGGTTCTGAAGGAACACACAATTCATTTCATGAGAGATTGGCATTTCTGTTTTTTTTTCCTCATTCTTTTCACTGGTTTGTAAGCAGCCCAGTGCTAGAGTTGTTGTAAGTTTCTCTAAACTATGAATATGTTTCTACGTTATATACATCATATCAACATTTTTAAAGTCGCCTGGTTCTGTTTACATACA